TGGAGCTTCTTAATCTACCGGGAGGTGCAGAATCATTTGAGTTGGCAGCAAAGTTCTGTTATGGTATTAACTTCGAAATCACATCTTCAAACGTTGCTCAGCTGTGTTGTGCTTCTGATTACCTCGAAATGACTGAAGAGTTCTCAAAAGATAATCTTGGTTCGCGCGCTGAAGAATACCTTGAAAGCGTTGTTTGCAAAAATCTTGAAATGTGTGTTGAGGTTCTGCAGCAATGTGAGAGTTTACTACCTCTAGCTGATGAGCTGAGAATAGTTAGCCGTTGCATAGATGCAATAGCCTCAAAGGCTTGTGTGGAGCAAATTGCTTCTAGCTTTTCACGCTTGGAGTATAGCAGCTCGGGGAGACTTCACATGAACAGGCAAGCTAAATCTGATGGGGACTGGTGGATAGAAGATCTTTCGGTTATTCGAGTTGACTTGTACGAAAGAGTCATAACAGCCATGAAGTGCCGCGGAGTTCGCCCTGAGAGTATTGGTGCATCTCTTGTGAACTATGCGCAGAAGGAGTTGACAAAAAAGTCCAGCTTATGGAATCCGTCTGGCCAGACAAAAGTTGATGTAAATTCAGCTTCAACTGTGCATGAAAAACTCGTGGTTGAGACAATTGTTGGCCTCCTGCCCGTTGAGAAACTTGTTATTCCAATCAATTTCCTATTTGGGCTTTTGCGAAGTGCTGTAATGCTTGATTGCACAATTGCTTGCAGACTTGATCTGGAGAGGAGGATAGGGTCCCAGCTGGATATTGCTACTCTTGATGATCTTCTGATTCCTTCTTTCAAGCACGCAGGCGATACTTTATTTGATGTGGATACAGTGCATAGGATTTTAGTCAACTTTTCTCAGCAAGATGATAGCGAAGAAGATATGGAAGATGGATCTGTTTTCGAATCTGATAGTCCTCATTCACCTTCCCAAACCGCTTTGTTTAAAGTTTCAAAGTTGGTGGACAACTACCTTGCTGAAATAGCCCCTGATGCAAACCTCAAGCTTGCTAAGTTCATTGTCATTGCTGATGCTTTACCCGAGCATGCACGAACAGTTCATGATGGGCTATATCGAGCCATTGATATTTACTTAAAAGTATGTCTTTCTTATCTTTCTCTGCCATTAGTCTCGATTAAGATGCCTTTCTACTTACCATTCTTTCATTAGTTTCAATTGATTATATATGTTCTTCCTGTGACAGGCTCATCAAGGTTTAACCGATACAGACAAGAAGAGGCTCTGCAAAATGATTGATTTCCAAAAGCTCTCACAAGAAGCTGGTGCCCACGCTGCACAAAACGAGCGCCTCCCTCTCCAGTCAATCGTACAAGTGCTTTATTTTGAGCAAATAAGGCTCAGAAATTCCTTGGGATGCTCTAATGAAGATGAACCCAAGCCAATGCACCAGTCTTGGCGGATCAGCAGTGGTGCGCTCAGTGCAGCAATGTCTCCGCGAGACAACTATGCATCATTGAGGAGAGAAAACCGTGAGCTAAAACTTGAGCTAGCCCGGTTAAGGATGAGACTAAATGACCTTGAGAGAGAACATGTCTGTATGAAGAGGGATATGCAAAGGTCCAACTCTCGTAAATTTATGAGTTCTTTCTCCAAGAAGATTGGCAAGCTGAGTTTCTTTGCAAATAGTTCTTCAAGGGCATCTACATCTCCGTCAAGGCATTCTTATAGAACCAATTCTAAAGTGATCGAGAGAACGTGTGCAAGCACAGATTAGATAATTCACTTTGTCAGGAACTTTTTATGTCTGGTTGAGTAAGTGCAAGCCTTGTGAAAATTTCACTTTTGTATGCCTCTTTTGGCCTCTCCTTGTAGAAATATTTGTGCTTTGAGTTAGCGATAGCGGGGAAAGATCTTGATTGTAAGTGATGCTTTTGGTTGAGTACAGTTTTTACAGCTGTTTAAATTCTGAATCGTAACTTAACTGCCAAATGTAGCAGGGTTAAATAATATAGACTCTATGCTGGATATGTAGAACAAACAAATAAAAATATAAACTTATATAGCTGCTCTAGTAACGTAACAAAACATTGGTGTGCATAATCAACGTACAAAAACAGAGCTTAAAAAATGCCTTGCAGTGCTAATCTACTCTGAAGGCCTTGGAATTGCACCCCAGAATCAGTGGCCTCGCTTTGTTGCTCCTCTTCCTTGTTTGGCAAGTTAAGAGTTACCTTAAGGCGAAGCAACTTGCGAGCACTTTCAGGTTTCCTCATACAAGATTTCAACAAGGGGACCTGCTTGCTCTCCCTAATATTAAGATCAGCAAATTTTGCAGCAATGTCCTTGTTGCCATCATCGTATTTTCTACGACGTCTAGTTTCATTTTTTGGATGAATCGGAGGTTTCTGCTTAGATTCTCCCCGAGTTTTCTTGTTTCTGGATGACAACTCTACTTGGTTATCTTTTTCGAGTCTTCTGTCAGAGTCAGCATCTTCATCGCTTGGGCCAGGGCTAACAATAGCAGAAGCACAAGCAAAAAATTGAAGCTTAAGCCTTCGTCTCTGCTCATTGTGCTTCCGTGTCATACCAGCACAGTCCTTGGGGGGAGAACTGTGTTCAGATACATGATGGTGGCCTCGATCTTCTGCAGATTGTTTCTGTTCAAGCAAAGAAGAAGAAGGAAGGTGATCGCCGTGCGCTCTGGCTTTAAGCAACTGATAAATTGTGCGGTTAGGAACTATAAAAAACACTTTCCCAGGAACCAAAACTGCATCTGGCTTAACCACAATCCATGGGAACTCAAAGATGTCTGGCCTAGTTATGCTGTGCCTGGGGTACCTTCTCATCACCTCTTCAGCTGTCACCGGTTTCTTGTGCACCTCCAAACGCCTTCCTGGACGCACCAGTTTCAGCACGCTTTCCTCCCTCGCTGTGCTTCCCATTGGCATATCAAATGCCGGAAACATATATGTATCTGATCAAATATTGTTTCTAAGCAACTAGGAATTAATGGAGAATAACTCAAGGAAGAGGAGCTACTAGGCTGCTCAAAGGTTGCTTCTTAAAGTGGAAGAAACTCACTAGAAGATGAAGTTTTGGCGGAAAAACTTATGAGGAATGTTTGGAGGGGAATGCAAATATTAGCTGGAATTTCGTTGTCCAGATAGATTCTGTACACATTTTAGTAGGTTCTTTGCTTGTTTTACCACGCTTTCTTTGGTGTTTGAGGAGGGTCTTATCCTCTAATTTTAACACTTTGTGTTGGCTGCTCGAAGGCCCAAAGGACTCAACAGTTGTGCAATGAGACAACCTGGCCGCCTATAGGCTATATGGTGGTGCAAAAGACACTAGTATGAAGGGCACCAACTTATTTCACAAACTTTTTTACATCCCAACTGATGCAAATGATGCGATGACAAAGCAAGAACAGAGTTGTGTTACTAGAGCCATCTATGAATATGTATCGAACTCATCACAAATGTATATCATTATCAGGATAGTGTGAGTTGAGTTTGAAACTTTGCACTAAACTAAATGCGAGTTGGTAATGTGACAGTGCGCACCCTTTACTTGTTCACTTCAAATAAGAAAGAGAGATTCTATTTATATTCAAATATTACCTCTTCTCGCTTAACAAATTTTTTAGCATCCAATAAAAGTTTTAACTACTTAATCTCCCAACAAAGACATATTCTTCCAAAATTACATCTCAGAGTTACACTTTAATTTTATCTTCTAAATTTATCAATTCAGTTCAATTTGACTGTAACATTTGAAGGTAGAAAAAACTGAACAATATTGAGTTTTAACAAGAGATGATTGTTGCTATATTTACTTATAAGAAGAGAGAATAAAAAAGTATATGTTTTATTAATTTGATAATAAATCGTCGCATCAATTGGCGCAAAATAAATAGTCGTGAATTAACAAAAAAAAAAAATTGGAATAACTAGTTTGGTGACTCACAGTATTATTCCATGATTCGATGTTAGTGGCGAGGAGTAAAGTAGCCTCAATAATTAAAGTTAATAATTACACAATTGACAAATAATTAAAATTAAAAATTAGCTGCATGATCACAATGGAGGTGCCTCAAGATCATCGCCCGTCGTTGACACAGAGGTAAATGTGTTTCATAAACATCGTACTTCTGGCTTTTTGCTACTTATTTTATTGATAGATTATCCAAAACTTGCCCCCAAACCATACACAAACTTTCCCAAAGTAGATAGATATCAAACCTTAGAGGGTTCCTACTTGCATCCAAGAATTTGATTCTACAGAGATTATCGACCATTCACCATTCATGTGTCATATTCTAATTGATTCTAAAGACTCTGATATTTATAAGTTTTACGCAAAAACACTAAAGTAGTTTAATTGCGATATTTCTTTTTGCTAAGTTAGCTTGATATTTTTCTAAGGTATTGGTTTGAAACGTTTTAATTTAAAGGGTAAGGTTACTAATGACTAATATGCGTAAAGAAAAAAACAAAACAAAAGTCATGACAATTGGCATGGAAGAACTTCCTTGTGGAAGCCACTGTTTGTTCTCTAGCCAATCATGCACTGTTATTGAAAAAGTTAAAAACACATAATAGAAACTCAAAATACCGTTAGAGTGACATCTCTAAAGTAGGTAAGTTTATCTCCTGGTTGTAGCCTCAATGAAAAGATCTGTGTTATAAGGCAACCTCCACCTACATAGAGGATGTTGACCTCCATAAAGATGGAGATCATGGTCGACCATTGACCTTGCATGTCGGCAACCGCCAAGGAGATGGAGGCCATGGTCGACCATGAGGCTTGCGTGGGTTTTCTTTTATCTAAAATATGTTTTTCGTTGTTTTCTGATTTTCTCCCACGTCCCAACAACGTTTTTGGATGTTGGGTGAAGTGATGGAATCGTTGGGTGTAAAAAGCAGGTCTGTACAACTTAACCGGGCCCCTGAATCAAGCCCCAACAACCAGTCACAATTTTATGTGTATTGGGCCTTGATCAGTCTCACGACATCTCGTTTCACCAACCACACCACATTTGAAAGCAAAGGCAAAAAGTAATTACCACATAGAAGTCAAACTGTCGAATATGCTAACAACCCTTCATCGTCAACATTTCCAAACGCCAAAAAATAACAAAGGGTCATTGCGACCCCGTAATAAACTTATTGGAAAGCGTTCTCACTTCTCCTTCGGCTTCTGCATTTATGCTGTTGATGATTTGGTGTAGAAGCGCACACCGAAGGCCAGGCCCAAAATTAGCAGGGGAACGAGGAACTGGAGGAGTTTGATAACGAAATCAGTTGTCTTGTCCTGGTTGTAGTGAGGCTGCTTGGGAGGAGTGTACTTCCTATTCGTGGGGATGGATGCCGAATCAATGTCTCCAACGTAAAACTCGTCCAGCATTGCTCTAGCAGTGGAACTGTGGCCAATATCCTCGAAATCGTTACTTGCATCCTTTCCTGCAAACCACGGATCATCTTAGGACCATAAACAGTAATCAAATGGTATCAACAGGTTTCTGTTTCTACCGATATTTTGTGATGTGCGCATACAAAGAAAGGATTAAGTTTGTGTCAAACCTGTGACTGCCAATAAGACCTCATCACCACCAGGATGATCGTCCAAGAATTTTGTTACATCATAAACCTGTTCGAACCCATCTTATTGTACTATTAGTAACTCTGCCTTCACTTAACAATTAAGTTCTTCCATATTGTCACATCCGAAGGATTAGTTGGCAAACACACACAAAGAGCAACATAATTCTCCACTTGACATACAAATAAGTGACCCAATAGCGACATTAGACGAAGTGTGCGGTAATAATTTCTCTAAAAATAATCAGTCATTGCACCCTATCAACTAAAATATCGAATTAATAACTACCTATTCACAATAAACTATCACGCACTTTAAAAGATACTAGATACCAAAAAGAGAAAAGACATGAACATCCATCATTTCTCGCCTTTGGGGCCGATAAATTCACTAAAAAGAGAAAAGACATGAACATACATCAGCAGCTGAAGCTCCTATAAGTTCAATTTCAGTGGCATCGATGCTCAGCGTAACCAATGTCTATCAATCTGATTCATAACGTCATAACAATCTAATCAACCACCTAAACTTTTAATTTTCCTCTGTTTTTATAGAAATCTCGAACGCGTTTCATCCTGATCTAACTACTACATATGCAGTCAAAATATAAACCAAAATTCAACTGTATCAGTCAAAAGTCAAAACCCACAAACAAACACTTAACCCAGATCCAATCACACACAAAACTCCAAATTAACACAACCCAGATGCAAAGTCCCTAAATTTAACTGAAAACTGCAGAGCTCAGAAGAAGCTAGAAAATTACCTTGCCATCGATGACGAGCCAGCAGTCCTTGCGGTCACCGTGAGTGGAGACCTCAGCCAAAGTGTAGACCTTTTTGTCTCCAGCCATAGTTGGAAATGCAGAGATTTGAAGATTTCAGAGAGTTTGATTTGAAAGAGAAAAGAAGGGAAAGGTAGGTTGGTGGTGGGTGAGGGGGGTGGAGAGATTTTTAATTCGGAATGGGGTGGTGGGAATTACGCAAGACAATGGGTGGGATGGCATAGTCGTCCACCAACCACAAAATCCACTGTGTCCGGTAGTTTTCTCATTTTTTGGTACGACTTCTGTGGGCATGCTTATGGTCATTGTTTGGTAGCATAGGTAGAGCTCTAATCACACGAATCCACTCTACATCTCGTACAACAAAGATAAGTGCTTCGAGAAGCTGTCGTTTAAGAGTTGATTAGGAATCAAACGTTAATGGTTGCACTTCCAAGATAACTTCAGGGTTCTCCCTAACTTATTCTGTTTATTTCAAAGACTTTCAACACGTTTTTATTGCCTATTTGTGATCCTCGTAGACTGGAAAAATTCTTCTACATGGTTGTTCGTTTGCGGAAACTCTCACACTGAAGGGATTGCAAAGTAAGTCGAATGGTAAGAAAACATGATGACTTTTTATTTATGTGTGGTCGCACAGACACGTGATTCGTCAGTCGCACACTAAAATTTCTGCTTAGGCTGAGACGCATCTCCAATTTCACCTACACTAAAAGCATATCATATCACAAGATCTTTGTCAAGAAAATGCTTGATAACTTGTCAATTGTAACACTCACTTTCATATCCAAATCACTACAAATAAATTGTTGAGAAAATAAGTGTTGCTCTACCATCCAATTCAATAAAAAGGCCAATTACTGGGCCAATACAAAACCTTATTAAAAATGGTCTAAGCCCAATAGTCGGCCTCAAAAAGAGTACAGGGCACGTGGTTGACAAAAACCCTAGCTATGAACCTCCCTTTTATATACTCGCACGGAGTGAGGGTGAAAGAGAATCAGAGAGCGAGAAAATGGTGTCCGGCTCAGGAATCTGCGCGAAGCGAGTGGTGGTGGACGGGCGCCACCACATGCTCGGTCGTCTGGCGGCTGTCGTGGCCAAGGACCTTCTGAACGGCCAGCCGATCGCGGTCGTGCGCGCTGAGCAAATCGCCATATCGGGCGGTCTGGTGAGGCAGAAAATGAAGTACATGAGGTTTCTCAGGAAGCGCATGAACACCCAGCCCTCTCACGGCCCCATCCACTACCGCTCTCCCGCCAAAATCTTCTTGCGCACCGTCCGAGGGTAACGTCGTAATTCCACTATTCCCACCTCTGTTCCCCTCTGTATCTCCGCTCCTCGACTCTAAACTCACCATTTTAATGGCGACTGGTTTGTGTTTTTGCAGGATGATCCCGCACAAGACTAAGCGCGGAGCTGAGGCTCTGGCGAGGCTGAAGGTTTACGAGGGCATCCCGCCGCCGTATGACAAGACGAAGAGGATGGTGGTTCCTGATGCTCTCAAGTGAGTATGGTGTTGGTGTGACATTTTGTTTTTGTTGTGCAAGTGTTTGATGAATTGCTTCGCTGAATTTGGGTTTGTGATCAATTGTGAAATTAGGGTGTTGAGGCTTCAGAAGGGCCACAAATACTGCTTGTTGGGTCAGCTTTCATCCGAGGTCGGATGGAACCATTATGAAACAATCAAGGTAAGATGAAATTCAACTCAAAAGGTTTATGCTTTTACGATTCTGGTTGAATGTGGTCGTAATTAGATAGCCATTCCCTTTTATTTGTTGGATGTAATTTGAATGTAGCTTGCATTTTTTTTTTAATGTAATTTGAATGTAGTTTTTAGTTAGCCGCAGCAGCGTTTGTTGCTTTAGGGAGTTATCTCCACCCTTGCATTTTTCGGTCATTTCACTTGTCGGTTTTATGATCTTTTATGTATATATTCATCCATGAATATGGTTTTCATGATCATATGTTTATAAACTTTCTTGAGATGTGCTGGAATTCCGAAACTTCCTTTAAGCTTGACAATTGGTTGACGTATTTTCTGGCCATGACATAATGTTGATTTTAGTGTACGAATGCACTGAATTTATTTTTATTTTCCGTTCACAGGAGCTGGAGAACAAGAGAAAAGAGAGGGCTCGGTTGGCATATGAGAGGAAGAGGCAGCTAACCAAACTTAGGTTGAAGTCTGAAAAATCTGCAGAGGAGAAGATTGGTTCCCAGCTTGAACTCCTTTCTTCGGTGACATATTAGAAGTTTAGGGCTGCGAAGTGGTGTCGTCGTCTATTTTTTTGTGCCAGCCAGCCATACATTTTTTGTTGAGGATTACATTTTAGTGAACTTCTAGGGATTACATCTTAGTGAACTTCTTGTCAAGGCATCTCGTTTTGAGGAATTGAATCCTTTATTTGATAGTTTTCAATGGGGAACTTGTTTACCTGTTTTGAATCATATGGTTCTAGTTTGCTTTATGATGGGTTGATGTCTTGGCTTCTTTGTTAGTGCCGCCAAAACCCATGGCGGCTTTCGTTGTGTTATGCCTAGCTGTGGCTGGCTTCACGTTTTGGCTTGATGTTTCCACCTTATAGGAGAACCATAAACCTATTTTTGAACTGAATCTCCATTCGACTCTGCCATATCAAGTGTAACGCAGAGAGCTTGGCAAGAAGTGTTTAAAGTTGTTGATGTACAAAATTAGCGAGACTTTGGAACAACGTAAAATGTCAAGTTTGTCAGCGAGACTTTAGAACAACGTAAAATCAAGTTTGTCGGTGAGACTTTGGAACAATGTAAAATGTTAAGTTTGTGACCTTTGTCCGGTTGTTCTGGTCACCTTTAATTGACTACGCTAGGTTCTGAAGGAAAGCAACTAAGAAGCTAAAAAAGAGATAGAGATAGGGAAGTAAACACAAGATATAGTTCACCCTAAGTTTGGCTACGTCTACGGAGTATAGGAGTTCTCATTAATAGTTTACACAAATACATAAGTTTAAGCATAATCACTATTAGTGGGTTCTAATAACTAGTTTAAGTACAATAATGACATTTCCCCCCTTAATTGTCGGAGAATTGTCTTTTTTTTAATAGTTGAGGAGAGTTTCCGGCTTTCATCTGCGGTCGATGTGGGACTCTAGAAGTTTTATTCTGACGTTAAGATGTGTCGTGATGTGATTGGCCTCTTGGATAGAGGGAAACGCTTGTGCTTTGGTAGGGGTGCCTTAGCATGAATCCCTCAGTGAGTCTTTGAAGGTATGAAGTTCATTGGTGCTTGGTAGTTTTGGGATTGATCAAGTATGGTACAAACAAAAGTAAACCTCCAACTTCAATGATGGTAAAAGGCTTGGAACTAAATATTCTTTGGACCCCTTTGACGACTTTAGAAGAAAGAGAGTGAAAGAAATAGAGGACAGAAAATAGAGAGAGAGAGGAGGAGCGGGAAGACAAGAAGACGAGGTATACGGAGATTGAAAAGTTGAGCGGAGTGGGAGGAAAGGAAGAGTGATGAAAAAGAAAGAAGAAGATAGCTAGTTACTGAAAGGAGGAACCGAGTAGCAAGTAGTTGCCAGCAACTTGTATATATTTCATTCAAGTCGAGTAGATAATAGGGAGGGAATGACGAGCAAATCAATTGATAGCGTCTAAGTAAATCCCATTAATTGCCTAGATATACTTGCCAAACAGGTTTGGAGAAAAAAAAAATGGATAAATTTATTGAAGAAACCGGTGGGAAATGATTTCGGCACTTTCCTTTGCCTCTTTGCACTTTCTTCTTCTTCTAACCTTTAGATTAAATAAATAAATAAAGAATTAAGACAAAAACAAAGGGACGAGTGAGAAGCAAAAAACAAATGTGAAAAAACCATTTTCTGAAACCAAATCCGCATACAGATTTAGGTCCATGGTTTATTTTCAAGATCATTGTTCTAGATCCTTCCAGTTCATATTTTAAACAGACCCAAGATTGAGTTTGTTTGTGTACTACTACAAACAAGTAAGATCTTGGGGCAAAGTTTTCGCCGAGAAAAAGATGATGGATTTAGAGGAAGTGGAATGGTTCTAGCTTTCCATTGCCTAATGTGAAATCTTCAAATATCGAATCGATGATTTACGAAAAGTACATATTAAATAACTATAATGATATTGTCACTCTTTCTTATTTTTTAAATTTTATAGATTCATATTTTAATCACGTGCAGTGTAATGATCTCAGTTGATTTGTATTTAATTTTCTACAATTGGTTCATGAGGGAGAAATGAAGGAAAATGTATGAATTAACAATTTTGGACTTGTTTGATGTTCATTTTGTATTCGTTTTTGTGTTAGAATTAGTGGGAAAATACAAGAGAAAAATGAGGGTTATAGAAGAGCGGTGGAGGAGATGTAGAAGAAAAGCTATGCAAGTCTACATATTGTAGAAAATATGCACAATTTAGACTTGCAAGGACTGATGCTTTTCAATTTAATTATGGCCTACATATTGTAGTCCTCCTTCTGTCCGGAGACCGAAACAAGAGTTTTCTACCTCAGACCTGATGCGGCATCTTCACTATGCTAGAGCTGCAAAAGTTTCAATAACGCATCCGATGTAGCATAGGTAAGTCCTCACGAGTCATGAGACAATAAGGAAGAAATTGAAATGTTAAACAAAAATATGAATAAACTAAGAAGTAAACAGCATTATGATTCATGAGAAATAATGCTTAGAAATCGAACTACACCGATGCATAGGTATGATTGATTTCCGTGGCTCTAAGATTGGTTGCCTAGATGCTCACTCAAACAGAATAACAAACCTATTTAGCAACCAAACCAGTCAAAGACATTACGTATAATGAGACGTATATAAACCATATATTTACCATATAGTCTTCACTCTCCCATAGCCCAACCACATAAAGGCATGGTCGTTCAGCTAAACGCAGTCGTTTAGAGAGTATTCGGAGAGCAAGCCAATTCAAAAACTAGCCAGTAACGGCTGCATGAAATGAACCCTCATTCAAGAACCAGCTAAGCCAGCAAAGAATCTTCTTCATCATCTTTATTGCGAAACCAATCCTCTTCTCTCCAAAAATGTCCCCACGTGTTTGCCAACCAAGGTCTCTCCCCTTCTCGTCTTGCATTCCATGTTTTCGTCCTCGTTCGTATCGAAAACTCAGTTATAAGAATCCCCAAGGTTTGATTGTGAGCTCCTCAGAGAGAGCACAGTTTGTTAGGCTTTGATTGTGAACTCCACAGAGATAGCACAGTTTTGTTGGGCTGTTCTTTTAGTGAGCAAATGGCACCGAAGAAGAACAACTCGCTTGAGATTCCTCACGGCTGGGTCCTGCGCACGAGGGTGGAAAGCG